TTATTTGCTTATTGAATATTACAAAAACTATTATAAAATATTATGTTTTCAGACGTTTATTTTAATCAACAATTATAGTTGAAATTGATTAGATGAAAGTATAGTATGAAAACTAAAAATAAACCCTATTAATCGAAAAATATCGAAAAAATTTAATGATAGTATACTGTGAACTTCGCTGAAAAATGCATTTTTTATTGGTTAAACTTCACACACACACACACACACAATAATATTAAAAATAATTTGATATCGTTTCATTTCGACGGAAATTCCTTCAACCCGGATGTCTTGGGTTTCATTTATCCGCGATTCGTTCTCCAGAGTATGTATATTTTTCCGTGTAAAGCATAAACAAGAACATAATTATTGAAATACGAACGGTTTATAAATACCATCAGATATTGGATAAAATGTCACGTGTCCGCAACCTTGTGGATGTATCTTCATCGTAGTCGACCGTCGCAGTTGTTCCGGGATTGCATTATTAAAATCTCGTTTACGCCCCATCGCTCGAAATGTAATTATGGACAGAATTTATTTTCTTGGCCGTGACTTCAAAAGAAACTCAAGGATAACTTGTATTAAATTTGAATATTAATACTCGGGACTGCATAATAATTTTGGATTTCTTGGACGACCGTCGAGATTACGTTAAGTATACGTGCGGAGCGCGTCCTTTTGACTTGAAAGTGAGCAATTTGAAAGTTCGGGCAAAACGCACTAGTCAGCGCGCCCATGGATTATTATTTAATCTGATCAAAGGATCCCAAAGTTTTCCACGTATCTCCCTGCCATTCTCTTTCTCTCGGTCTGACTTTCTCTCTCTCTCTCTCTCCCTCTCTCTCTCAATCTCTCTCTCTCTTTCTCTATGTCTCCATCCATTCGACGTTCACCTTATATTCATGTCAGAAACTGGGATGTAACTTCTTTCGCGAACTCCGGGCCGAGAGGGGTTAGAATAAGCGGTTCTCGAAATTATATTAATTTTTTTCCACGATATCGTCTCATTTCACGTCAAAGGGATTTCTTTCTTTTGACGGTTTATTTAGGTCTGGATGAAGTGCGTCAAAGCGGAATTATTATTATAATAAGAATGTAATATATCTATACGACAGCGATGGAGACAGAAACGAGAGAAAGAGACAATCGTACATGAAGGAAGGGACGCGCGGAGAAGTATGGTAAGCGAGACGGAGAGAATGTATGTAGCGGTGAGAGTGAGTGGATTTGGCGGTGAAGAAGGGATGAAAAGAAAAGGACGGAACGAGAGAGCAATAAATACGTGGGGTAGTTCACTTTATTATTATTATTATTATTTTTTTATATGGTCCCGCGGAATATCGGGTGACAAGCACGTATTCTGAGTAGTATTATAATTTGCATGCGAATTCTCCGCGTACAAACACGCTCTTCTCTTTACTTGGCTCGTGCAATAATAACCGTTATAATGTGTATACGCACGACGTGTAAATATACGTATGTATACGAAGTGTGTGTATGTGTGTTTTTACATGCATTTGTGCGTGTATTTTCGTCTTGTCCACACACGTGTTTACGCAATCACCACGCTAGAGGTGGGGTTTGTTACTTGTTCTTTAGCACCTCCCCGTGCAAATCGACTTCTCTCGGTAGTACATCCCTCTCGCACAACGCGTTTTCTCCACGTAGTATTTCTTTTTTGCACTTGGAAAATTTTAAACCCAATAATATATCATGGGTAAGCTCCCGTGCTATTCCATTTATTACGGTCAAGCAAGATAGTTTTCAACTCTAGCCACTCGTATTTTACGAAAGCGCTTCGGTAACGTGCGCATCGTGAATTTTTTTAATTCGTTTTTTTCGTTATACTATCACAGTTCTGGCCATCGTTTTACTCATACGTTATAATATAAGAATAATTTTAGCACACGTATCAAATGGAATTCAATTAGAAGTCACGGTATTAACATTAATGTAATATTATCGAATTGACATACGGCAGCATCGATTCGTAATCGGTTTAGAAACGAATCGATGACAAGCAGTAGCCATTTTCCCTAGTCCCGGTGTACGAAGACCTTTCTACGAGCTTAATACGAAATCGTTATAATAGGTGAAAATTGCCTGTTAATGTCATCAAACTGTCAGAATTAATTTCAAATTTGTGTTCACAAATAAACATATAATAAATATTGTCTGTTTTTTTCCCCCCGATTATTTTGTAAGCTACGTATATAAATTATTAAGTGAATAATAATGGTTAAAATGTTGTACGTAAAATAATGTTAAAAGTATTAACTGCATTAGGTATCTGCTATTTCACCCCGATTAAATGTACAGTAAACCTCTATTAGAGTTAATCGATTTCAATCGCTTACAAACTCGTTTGATTCAAAGCAATACAATATTGATTTGGGAGAAAAAAATAATTAACGAGTATCAGGATATTTAATAAATCCCCGGCATGAGATTAAAAGCAAAATTATAAATCGGCCTCTGTCGATTACAGTTTTGAGTGTTTGAATGACGCGTACATGTTATTATTTAGGACAACACATCTTTTAATATACATACTATACAGTCGAATTAGGTTAATTAATAATTAAATAATAATAAAAGTAAGAACACCATAGATTATCAATAAAATCCTACGATCCCAACGTGATTGTTTGGTATTTAGATAATTACAATTAATTTCACCTATCCTCTTTCCACCTGGAAACGTATTGTCGAATGGTATTTTCTATGAGACAACTAACCTGTGAACAAGCCTAAGTTAATACTGATCGTTCTATATGAGTGTACGGGTAATTGTCACTTTAGAAAACAAAATACAAACAATAAAATAAATAAAAGAAATGAAAAAGTCATCGTAATCAGGAATTATTTTACAAGCTTTCGTCGAGTTTAAACGATGTCTGAAATACGATACAATTATTACAGTACATTTTTTTATTATTCATTTTTTATCCTTCAATTACCTTTACAAATAATACAGTTTAATAAGTTTTTTTTTTCAACTAATTACATTCAGTAAAAATTGTAATTGTTAAAATAATATTAAACTGATCATCAATTTTTAATACTTGATTTCCCGAGTCATTATGTGCAACGGTCTAACCACGCAATTCATAATTCAATAATTGTTGCAAAACATTTCGTCCAACTACTGGTAAACAGGATTTAGAATAAAATAATACATTTACTCGTATGTATTAATATTACTGAAATTGACGTACGATATGTTTTATAATTGTACATTATTCAACTCGAAACATAAAAAAATTCCTTTTAAATAAATAAATATTATAATACTATAAATTAATAGTTTATACATTAAAATTGATAATATATATTATGGTGTTTTATGAGAATATAATAACTGCGATTTTTACCATGTTAATAAAGATAAAATTGTTTTTTTTTAAATATATAATTCAAACTGTTTCCTAAATACCTATTATAATCTTAAAAAATGTACATTGTTGATAAAATAAATAAGTAAAAAATCTCTGAGAAATTAAATCGAAAAATTGGTTTTCAAAACCACTACGTAAACATATGAGTTAGTGTTTTACGCTTTTATTAAATTTAAAACAATACATATTTAATATATAAATAAATAAACAAATTTTTTTTATATAGAAATAAATAAAATCTTAACCTGAATTATTATCATATTTGTAAATAACGAGGAAATGATGATTACATATTAACCATTTAATATTTTTTTTATTTTCATTTAATTTTTATTATTTTATTAATTAACATTTAACTGTAATATAATTCTATGGATAATTTAAATTTTGTTGTAGATTATATTTAAAAACTTTAAAAGTAAAGAAGAACTTAATAAAGAATATGGAATCTGAAATATGATAGAAAACTTATGCAAATATAATATAATCAAAATCGAACATAGATATTATATCTATAACAGTTATTGCTAGAATTCGGAACTTAATAATGACTATATAATAATATGAGTAAGATATAAATTTGTTTTACAACATAAAGGAATTTGAATAAATATTTTTGCATATTTTGACGGTTTTTAGGCAAAATGCATATTCTACAGATTTTTGTAATTTAGGTAATTATTATTTAGAGTACATTTACCTACTTATTTTTATGTTTTATGTGAAATAAATTTATTCTAAAAATCAACTTTTTTTTTTAGATTTTTTAACGACAAAAGTATATTTCTTAATTGTATTTCTATTTTTATTACCGGAGTTAAATATTTGAATGAAGTTTATGTGATTTTAAATAATTATTGAGATATGGGGCGAATACGTATGACTATACAATATTATACAATATGCGGTCTTATTGATATTGTTTGTTGATATTTATTGATTTTCCAAAACCCGTTTGTATTGTACAATAACTGTTTTTTGATAACCATAGTTTCTGAATAACACTCGTACTCTAAACTAGTCACACTCGGTCGACTAATATCTGTTATGAACATAAATTTTTATATAATATAGTATAATAAAAATATTTCCGAAAATTATCAATTTTTACTAAAGAGCACAAAAAATTAGTTCATCATATAATAATAATCCTGGATTCGGTTTTCATTATTATCGCCTAAGAGTATTTAAGCATTTTTATTACAAGTACAGTTAATTAATTTTGAATGCATTGCTATTTTTAATAGTGTTCACGAGTATTTTTGTTAAAATACTACTGAAATAGTTATTTACTCCAATTGGAAAACTCTAGCATTAGATAAAGAAGGATGGAAGCTTGGTTGTGAGACGGGATTGTCTTAAAAGCCCAATAAACCTTAAGAAGAAGAAGAAGAAGAAGAAAAAGTATTTTTGTTAAAATATTGTTCATCGTTTTTGTCAACTTTATCTATCAAGAACACCATCGTCTTCGGAACACAAATGTATTTAAAAATATTTAAATATTTAAACTCGATTTTTTTTTCCTACCTCAAAGTAAGTCCTACCATTAATTATTTTCAACGATACGTATACAATTTAACTGATTAAAAGCACACATACTTGTCGACGTCCTGTGAATGTAAAAACATCGTACCGTACTTCCGTGCACAACTTGAGAAACGGATTATTTTCCCGGGAACTTGAAAGTACCCACTTTTATTCGTTTACACTTTAGATCGAAGCGATTTTACACTGTTGAGTGCCACACGTTAAAAATGCATCGAAAACTCGTTTTTCGAGTCGAACAACAACACAATAAACTCGACAAATCGCAAATCAAACACACACATGCACAGGAGCATGTAGGAGAAAATAAAAACGAGATGGTGTTGTATTACCTTTACGAAAAGGCAGACTCCAAAACACTGGTTATATTCATTCGCCAGACAGTCAATATCCGTTTATTCGACTGTTTGTCCCTTTTATAATCATAAACCAATATATCGGCAACTTCGATCCCTTTTGGGCGTTTCCATAACACAAGCCATGAGGTTTCTCCATTGTTTTCATTTATTGTTTTTTTTACACCGGTTCAATGCTATTCCCCTTTTACTTTTTCAAGTTCAGTCTGAAAAATTGGCATTCAAATAATTGAAATTTGGTCGCAGCTATATTCATTCTATATGTATGCAAAAAAAAAAAAAAAACTTATTAATTCCGTTAAAACGTAATAAAATTTTTCAATTGGCTGAAATGAAAAACGTTTAGTAAAATGTACACAAAGTCACGTCCTAAACTGTAGAGGTTCTATAATTTAAATTTGTATAGTGACCATATATAATTAATCGTTTTACAAAAAAATAAATAGACGATGAAATTTATCTGAATAAAATTAGATGACAGTTTTTTTTGCAAAGTACATAATTTAAATATTTCATAATTTTTAGCTATTGATCTAATTTTTAAAACTTGGTGAAAATAATACATCAAACCATAATATGATGAATATATTATATTCAAATAGAAGTATGTATGCCTTACTATTACATAATTTAACAAATAATTTGAAAAATTTAAATTACTTATACCTAGCAATTTTATTGCCTTCTTGAGGAAATTATTTATTTTTAATTGTTATCAAAACAAAACTATGCTTTGATCCATTATTATTTAAAATATAACCTATTACAGATAACTCCGCATATTTTCATCGAATTTTAATGAAATATGTAATTATTTTTTAGTTAAACTGCAACTTTTCTGTTCGAATCAAAAAAGATTTAATAAATGTATAGTATTGTTTTTCGATACTTTACTTTAATATGATAAAATAATTATTAGTTTAAGCATGTAGAAAACGTCACTATTATAATATATTACTTTCATAATCGATTTCTCGATGGTTAAATACATAAATTGAAAAACTGTTTGTTGTTTAATAAAACAATATCAAGTGTAAAATAGAATATGATCTCAAAAATTTATACTAATATGAAATTGAAATAGCGTTTGCATATTTTATAACTATTTTATTTTTTCTGTTTTTTTTTTTTTTTTTCACCTTGTGAGCAGGTATTATTCGAACCATATTTATGTAAATAGTCATTCCGTTACATCAAGTGTTTTAAGTTTTGTAGTATAGATATAGTTCAACGCAAAAACTGAAATCCTTAATCAAATCAAAAACTGAATTACTTATTGAAACGCAAATAAAAAAGTTTATATAAAATAATAACTCACCGGGAAGGGTCTTTATCATATTTCAAGGAATCAGATAATAATTTTACATTTTAATTAAATACGTATCGATTCTCGCTGACGTCATATGGCCATTGGACTCATTGCGTTTTTTCGTGTCTTACTAGTTTGCTTTAAATTTTCGCGTATACTATAATAAAATAGCTGTAAAAAAATATGTTTAAATAACCAAAAAGTGTTGGGAAAAATTAAAACCACAGAGTCCGTGTTGCATACAAATGAAAGAAAATGTAATAAAACGTCAAGTCTTGAAGAGTAAAACGAGCTGCATATATTCCCTTACATACCATATTTCTTTTATCCGACTACATTTTAATAAAAACCACCCTTAACAATTAAAAATATTCGTAATTATTCGTGATAATAATCTGTTATCATAATATGCAGCATTTAAACTTTAAAATCTTCATAAACGATATTAAGAATTTGATTGGACCGCGCCTTCCGATGATAAAATATGGTGTGAAAATATATAAGACGTTTGGAGTAAAGTACAGCTACACAAAAAGTGCGTCCATAAAAGTGAAATACGTCAATATTTGTAAAAACAATCGGTGATGGAGCTCTTAAAAATGTTAGAGCTAACAAATAAATTACAATTATCTATGTATAATGTGTGTGTGTATATATGTATATGTATAATGATTTTAAAATATTACTGTATATCAGATAGCAAGTGTGAACATCACACTTATCATCCAATAGCCATGGAATCATAGAACGATCTATTAATGAATATTAAAATCATGTCAAATTGTTCTCAACGCACAGGCTTTTTCAAGAATTTAATATATTTTTATTTTTTATTGTGCACTTTTTACTTCTTAAGAAGTTAGAGTTTTAGTATTTGTATTCAGAGTGCCCTAAGGTTAGAAAGGTATCTTTTGAGCTAATTTATTGACATGGAACATTCATTTGTTTATATTTATTTGTGAAGCATAAATTTCACTTTTATGGTTTATTTTTGGTAGTATATCTCAACAAAAAAACAAGAAAAAAATTGACATAGTTTTAAATCATTGTGATTTAGAAGTGTAGAATATTCACTGAATTTTTTCTTCTATTTTAAGTCAATAAATGTTTGTGTTTTTTTTATAATTTTAGGAGGAGCACATTTAGTATAATATATAAGGTTGACTGATGAACGTAAGAAATTCGGTTTTATAATATTGTTATTTAATGAAGTTTTTGGAACTGTAGATATTTTTTATGTGTTTTGGTCAGATGACTTAGTGGATATAAATGAATTAGGTGTGGATGTTTTTAAAGGAAAAAAAGGTATGGGCAATAGTAAATCTTATTGGGCTTCATTAAGAATAGCATTAGTAACTGATGTGTTCTGTGGTATAACTATATACTTTCCTTCATCCTCATTTAAAACGGGTAAACTATCTAAATCTAAGGACTCATTTATAAGCAAATTATAGTTCAGTTGGGTACTTGTTTCATAAAATATGTCCTCTTCATCAGACTCGTCCTCACATACGTCTCAATTTACAATTTACACTTCGTTAATAAATTCTTCCATATTTCTAAAATTCGGAGTAGATAAATATTTGTACCGTCGGTGCACGTTGTTGCATATGGGCAACAATCTATTTTATTTTATTTGTTTATTTATGTTTGTTTAATTGATGTAAATTGTTGTATGTTGTTTTTATATAAAAAGGGGGTGTGGGGTCTTGGCCCTCATCGCTCACTTTTTAATAAATTTTCATATCCCCCTCCCTCACAATAAATAATACTAAGAACAGCTCTGTTCGAAACGCACAATTTTAGCTGGTAATTGATGTTTAGAGTTTTAAACTGGTCGGAAAGAATAAAGGTACGGCCTACAAAATCAAGTACGCTACACTTTCACGTAAATGTAATTTGGTGATAAAATAAACCCTAGGTACAAGATGTATACAGAGTTAGGCATTTTATCGTGTGCATTGGTGAAATTAAAATAAAACAAATAATGTTATGATAAACGAATATTTCTTTCATTATGAATTAGTAAATAAAAAAAAAATTATTACTAGTTTTCTATAGCAAACTACCGAATTCTCAATACTCGTATACGAAGCTATTTGTATGAATTCTTACGAATCTAACACATCCGAAGAAGAAAAAATTAACTGATTACAATGATTTGTATTAAAAGTAACTGCACCCATTTATTCGAAAATATCGTAATGAAACGATTTGTTGTTCTGAAGTTAAATCGAATAACATTATATTCCGAACCGAAGTCTGCAGTAAAAAGAAATGGATATCAATCATCAACTCGATCCTCCCTTTTTATTTAGATCGGTGGTTTGTATATACGTTAGCGCTATCTGTGACTGCTTAATGGTAGCTCTGGTTGTAAACTGTTAAATACGTTGAATTTCAAAATAATTTAAATAATACTTGTGATTGCGCAGTGAAAAAATAAATAAATATAAATATTGTCAAAATGAAATAATAAATTATTATCATATATGTCTTCCTTGTTGAATTCAAACTTTCAGTTTTCATTTTTTTTTATCTATTGAAATGTATCAGAAACTATTTAATTCGATTAAGTATGATTATCATACATCTCTAGTTTTCTTATGATAATTGTATTGGCTGTAACAATTTAGTGCTTTCGCGATCTGGACAAAACAAGAAAACCGGCTTCTGCGTAGTCTGTGATTAAACACGTCCTTTCATCTCTGTAGTTGAATATTGGAGTTAAAGAAACTTATTTATTAAAACACAATTACTATTATGAGATACATTTTTATTTGGTTTTAAATATACTTATATTGATTTTAAATAAATAAATCAATAGTCTGAATTCTTAATAATCAAAATATGAATCAGGTAATAAAATAAACCAACATTGAAATAATACAAACAAAAATTAATTAATACATTATAATGATTAAAGAACGGATTTAAATGCAAATTGCAAATCTCTATTTACGAGCCACAAGGGTTCAGTCTGGATCGCTGACCGGGTTGTCATAGGGACGACCACTAGCACCGAGCCTGAGCCCGTACCTTTCTAAGGCTTGGTCGACTCGCGTCGTTGGTTTCCTCACCTTCATCAAGGGAGAGGGTGATTTGTGACTATTTATCGCCGGTCCTACAATCATCAAGTTGTAGCTGAGATAGGTGCTTCTCAACCTTGAGGGACACCACTTCCAGTTTTGAGTACCTTCCATTGTATGGCGGGCTTCCCTTCTCCCGTAGTACTGACACTAGGTTTCAAGTTGACGTCAGTTGATCAACCCGAAGCCGTAACCTCTCTCACTATTTCGGCACCCACGCCGGCTAGTGGATGGCAGCACTCGGTTCCGGGTTTCGTACAAACCAATCGCTGGAAGACTCCGTGTCCTGGACGATAGGATCCGTTGGACTCTTCGTCGTCTCCCGTTATCCTCTTGGTCGCCTCTTACGAT